TTGACCGCTAAAGCGTCCTTTTCGCAAGCTCCACCATTGCAGCATGATTTAGCCGGACGAATTGTACTTGTTGCCAAATCATTGAAGACAGGGGCTTTAACAGCAACTTCTCCGTGATCATGGGCGTGCGAGTGTCTACAAGTGCCAGCAGTCGGAGCGCTCTTGCTGGAATCAGTAAGAGCAAGAGGCTGTGTTACATCAGCAGGCTTTGACTCGCTTCCGCAACATTTCTTCTCGCATGTCGAATTGATGAAAGCCATTTTCATGTCAGGCGTTTCTGCCTGGTGCGCGTGTGCATGTCCGTGCGAATGACTCGTGTCAAGAGACACAGGAGCAGGAGTCTTGTCGCATGTTCCGCTGCTACAGCATGGCGTTTTGGATACCCCAATTTGTTTCGCTTTTACTCCACAGGAAGTCGCATCCGAATTGTGACTGTGATCATGACCATGGCCGTGTGCGTGTGACGACGACGAGATAGAACCAGTCTCCAAATGCTTGGTACGGCTCCCGCAACAACTAGTTTCGCCGGCACCATTTTTATCATCACTCGGATGAACTGCTGCCGGTGCCGAGATACCCGCTGATCGACTTTGGTAGCCATCAATCCCAGACTCCGGATCTCTTGTCCTCTCATCTGCAGAATCAGTCGTTCGTGAATTGCTAGGAAGCAAAAGCATGGAATTGAGAGTCACAAGAATCATGGCGCCAACATCGCTTGCAATTGCGGCCCAAAGGCTTGTCTTGCCAATGAGAGCAAACACCAACACAATAACTTTGACAGCAATGCTAAAAACAATATTTTGCTTGATCTTGTTGATTACACGGCGGCCCATTTGGATGCAGTATGCTAGCTTTCTCAAATCCGAGTCGAGCAACGTAACATCTGCAGTTTCCATTGCAAGCGCCGCACCAGCTCCCATAGCAACGCCGACATCGGCGGCCGCCAGCGCTGGCGCATCATTCACCCCATCGCCGCACATCATCGTCAAGCGTCTAGCGCTACATGGGTTCCCGATGATCGACCGATTAGTTTGCTCGCCACCGCTCATTTCTTTCACCAGCTCGAGCTTCTCTTCCGGGAGCAATTTTGACTTGATATTAGCACCTGAAAGGCCAATTTGAGATCCAATGGCAAGTGCCGCTTCTTGATTGTCGCCAGTAAGCATTACGACACGCATGCCTGCCTTCTGCAAAGCACTGACTACGTCTGGCGCCTCTTTGCGGACTGCGTCAGCGGCGCAAAAAATACATACAATGCCAGCGCCCTCGATGCTCATGTAGCCAATTGTACCGCCAAGCAGAGCCCAAGATTGAAGCTTTTGTCGGTCAGTATTCGAGAGGCTGTCCAACAGGCCAAGACGTCCAAACATTCTCTCGTTGCCGACGTGAACCTCGAGGCCATTGACGACTCCAAACAAGCCTTCACCAGCGATCGCGGTATGCTTTTCCACAACTAGATCCCTTGAAATATTAATGTTTTCATTCTTTGCAGCTTTTAAAATGCTTTGCGCCAGCGGATGGGATGCCCGATCCTCCATGAGAGCGAGATGCTGTAGAATGTCCTTGCGAGTGTATTGCACGCCGATGACGTCAAGATGGAGCAACGCAAACTCTCCTGTTGTTAACGTTCCGGTCTTGTCAAAACAAATTGACTTAATGAGGCCTAGCGCTTCCAAATATGCACCTCCTTTTATGAGTACTCCTTTCTGTGCAGTAGCTGCGAGTCCGGCAACGTATGTAACAGGTGTGGATATGATCAAGGCACAGGGGCATGCTACGACCATCAAAATGAGACCGTTGTTTGTCCAAAACCGTCCTGTTTCCGGACCAAAAGCCCACGGAATCGATACCATGAAGATGGCAGCAAGAACTACAATCGGCGTGTATATTTTCGCAAACTCATCAACAAGCTTCTCCGTCTCAGATCGATTCGCTTGCGCTTCTTCGACTAAACGAATGAGCCGCGATACGGCCGAGTTGTCAGCCGTGCAAGTAGTTCGAATCATCAGCTGCGCCAGACCGCAATTTACAGTGCCTCCAGACACTTCTTCATCGACGCCCTTGACAACAGGGCGCGATTCGCCCGTCAACGACGACTCGTCCAGCGTTGACCGGCCTTCAATAATGATTCCATCGCATGGCACTTTTTCACCACTTTTGACAGAAACAATGGCACCCACAGGAACGACTGATGCAGGTACAACAACAAGTTCTTTCGTGGATGGGTGAACAATATGGGCCTTGTCAGGACGCAGCTGTACAATGGCCGACAGCGCATGTCTCGCTCGCGACGTAGCTCGGACTTCAAGCCATTCAGAAAGGGCAAACAAGAAGACGACAGCCGCAGCTTCCGTGTAGTCTTGCAAACCAACTGCGCCCACTGACGCGAAAAACATGAGACAATTGGTGTCAAAGTGAAAGCGGCGAAGCGTTCGAAATGCCTTCAAAGCAATGGGAGGCAAGCCAAAAACAATCGATACGCATCCAACGTATTTTAAGTACTCCCTGAGAAGATGAGAAGCAGTAGTGAGAAACAACGGTTCAGGGGCATCATGATCAAGCAAAATCAGCGCTTACCAATTGCCTCCGATGTAAGACAACATGGATACAATCCACAGCACACCACAAACAATAACGGCAGGCTTTGGATACACTGATGTATGATCAACAAGCGCTGGGTCAGTCGCTTCCTCATCAAAAGTTGGCAGATTCCATGTACTAAGATCCGCTCCGTCCATAGATACTTTTGCCTCCAAGCCAGTTTCTTTCTTCAACGCCGATGCAATGTCTTGCGCCGACAGCGAAAAAGGGTTGTGAAAAACGCTAATTGACTTGGACGGAATGTCAACGACAAATGTTTCAACTTGAGTCGTATCGTACGTTTGCAAGAACTGCGTAAATGCTCCTGTATCCGTAGATTCGTCAAGCGAGTCAAATGTTAAGGTTGACCTGACGAACGAGCTATGCTGCTGACGAACCACCGAGCCAGCGTCAAACTTTAGCAAGGCTCCGTATCCAGCCGCGTTCAGAGCGTCTGTTATATGCTGCGCACTGACAACTCCAAAGACGTGATCGACAAAAACCATTTTCGTCGTGGCATTGATTGACACATTCGTAACACCCTCCATTGGCTGAACCACCTTGTTGACTGCCGGAATTTCGCTAGCACAACAAATATACTGCACGTAGACTTGCGATCGTCCAGAGCTTGGCATGTTTGCCGCAAGCGCTGCATCACCATTGGTTAAGATGGTTGCGCCAAAATGCACCCGGTTGAGTGCATCCAGCATGTCATTTGCCGATGTTGCCCTGGAGTCATGCATGACAATGACTTGCTTGAGCGGAACATTTACCATAACCTTGTCAATACCCGGCATAGGCTCTAGAACCCGCCTAATCATTGGTACTTCGGAAGAGCAGCAAATTTTGTCGCATGACAAAATGGATCGCGCCAGTGGCAATGTCGCAGTTGCCACAAGCGGCTCAATCGTTGGAACCGGCACATGAGCCGGCTTGGCAGCCTTGACCGGAGTGGTAGTCGCTGCCGTCGCCGTTTTGAGTGTGTTTTCAACCGTGGCAACGCGACCACTCGTCTTGGTGTCAAACAAGTTGGGCAAGTGATCAAGGATGCTGAATGGCGTTGGCGAAACTTCGAAAAAGTGCAACTGCACGTGTTTGAAGCTACTGCTGCCTCGCCTCTTGTTGCGCCACTTGCGTTGACCAACGTTTTGAAAGCGGCCGTGAACGTCATCGGAGCCGCAATCAGCGCAGGCATGCTCCAAATGCAACTCTCCGGTATCCGCATTATGCACCAGATAGTCCTCGTGATCATCGTGGCGCACCTTGTGTAGGATCCGGCGAGCCTTGGAATTCTTATAAGCCTTGTATGCTGCTGTTGCCGACGAGCACGTACTATCGTGCTGATGAATCTTTCGACATTTGGCGGCATTGAACCGCTTTTCGATCTCCTGGCTGTTGCAAGCCTTTGGCAGACTATCCGAGACTGGAAGTACGAGTAGATTGCAAGCAGCAGCGTCATCTTCTGTCGTGTCAGTCGTTCCAGTCGGAAGCAAGTATAGCGTCTGCGATGCCAACAATTTTTCCAATCCGTAGCTATCCTTACTACTACTGCTAGTCGTTGTAGTCGTTGCTGTATCGCGCTCCTGTTGCTGCTGATGCGCCGCCAAGCACATGTTTCGTAAATGCGCGTGTACATGCGGCGTATCAACGCCACAGAAGCAAGACTCTGCAGGCGTTCCATGGTTTCCATGCTCATCAAAGCAAGGAGTCATCCAGTCATCGACTGCTGTAGCTCCATGCGTGCTAAAGCAGAGTTTCTGCTGCTGCAATACTTGAGAGTCCTTGTCGTCGCTCGTTGCATCAGCAGCTGTATTTGAAGCCTCATTCGTTTGGTACCGAAAGGTCATGGGGACGCCTGATGCATCGAAAATGACAACGTCTGTTCCATTCTCGCGGACAACGGCGAGACAAAGGACCGAGTTGCTTTCCTCTTCCTCTGCGTGGTGATGATGATGCGTATGAGAGTGATGATGCTCGGAAGATCGAGTCGTCAGCGTCGGCTCCGAGTCTATTGTTCCAGCGCTTTCGCTTCCGCCGCAGCAGCCACTGCTTTTCTCTTGCAATGGCGAGGCTCCATGATGATGGGAGTGACTATGGCCTGGCATGCTTGCAATTCTTAAAAAAGTCACTGCTGATTGTTGAGACGTGAAAGTTGTAGCCTCGTCACAACTTATTCCCCTGCTTTCTTCCCGAATTCGTTCCACTACTCAGCTATAGATGTAACGCCAAAGGACTGCAAAGCGCTTCTTTAACTTAGATAATACTGAAAAGCTTCTCTTCTTGAAAGTCTGCTGCCTTTTAAAGTGATCTTGTCGAGGCAAGCCAACCTCAACCACTTGGCATGCGCTGCGAGGTCTGTGCAGGCGCCGCGACACCCCATCTCGCAGGCAACTTGGTGCAATTAGGTCCCTTTTCAACATGGTTTATCGCAGGATTAGCTCAGTGGAAGAGCGAAACGTTTACACCGTTTAGGTCGGGAGTTCGAACCTCATTGTTTTCAACCGCAGTGTGGATACATTCATGTTTGTGGTTGACCAGCACCGCGAAGAAGAAGAACTTGTACTGACGGCCCTCTAGTCCATTGCAGGTGCTCGTTGGCATGATGGGCCATTGGTTTGCACCGTGAATGCAGTGAGCCCTTCACAAGGATGCCATCAACAAATGACAGGGATTTACATGAAGGTGCTCATTTGATGCTTTGATGACTGCATGCCCTCAACTGGCCAAATTTCCTTTTGTCACTGAGCTACTTGGATGCCATGGAGGGGTTTCACCACACCAGATGAACATATGAGACAAGGGTTTGGCCATGCAGGTGCTCATAGGATGCTCCATTGGTGCACCAGTGGCCCCTTCTAGGCAGATGACCTTTCCACTGGCGCACAGATGGTTTTCCTTCTCACTGTCACTGAGCTACTTGGATGCCATGGAGGGGTTTCACCACACCAAATGAACATACAGAACAAGGGTTTGGCCATGCAGGTGCTCATAGGATGCTCCATTGGTGCAACAGTGGCGCCTTCTAGGCAGATGGCTCTTCAAGAGGCGCTCAGAAGGGTTTTCTTCTCACTGTCACTGAGCTACTTGGATGCCATGGAGGGGTTTTACCACACCAAATGAACATACAGGACAAGGGTTTGGCCATGCAGGTGCTCATAGGATGCTCCATTGGTGCACCAGTGGCACCTTCTAGGCAGATGGCCCTTCAATGGCCTCGTTTCCTTCTCACCGTCACTGAGCTACTTGGATGCCATGACGGGGTTTCACCACACCAAATGAACATATAGGGCAAGTTTGGCCATGTGCTGCTCATTGCCATTGGTGCACCAGGCACCTTCTAGGCGCCATTTGGGCAATGAGTCTCAAGACAGTGTTAATCTTGTAACTTGTAAATCAAATCGTTGCACCTTTCGCTTGTAGCTGTCCTTGGATGGCCAATCCAAGCTTGCAGTTGCTACAATACGAGAGACGAATAAATCGCTTTCTTAACTCTTCAAGCTTAGTAAGTCTGCTTGTTTCTACTCTTTATCGCACTAGTTTCAGCAATATGCTTGTTGAATCGCTTCGAAGCCGTCGCTGCCACGCATCACGCGATCGTGAGGCTGTGGTGAGCCGCGAGTGCCGCTGTGTCACCCTATCGGACATTCGGTGTGACTTGCCCGATTTTCGCTGTTTTCGTTCGCATCCTGCAAAGCGGAACGTTTACCATTACTTTCTCAACGCCTGGCATAGGCTCTAGAACCCGCCTGATCATTGGTACTTCGGACGAGCAGCAAATCTTGTCGCATGACAAAATGGATCGCGCCAGTGGCAATGTCGCAGTTGCCAATGGCGGCTCAATCGTTGGGACCGAAACATGAGCTGGCTTGGCAGCCTTGACCGGAGTCGTAGTCGCTGCCGTCGCCGTTTTGAGTATGTTTTCAACCGTCGCAACGCGACCACTCGTCTTGGTGTCAAACAAGTTGGGCAAATGATCAAGGATGCTGAATGGCGTTGGCGAAACTTCGAAAAAGTGCAACTGCACGTGTTTGAAGCTACTGCTGCTGCTGCCTCGCCTCTTGTTGCGCCACTTGCGTTGACCAACGTTTTGAAAGCGGCCGTGAACGTCATCGGAGCCGCAATCAGCGCAGGCATGCTCCAAGTGCAACTCTCCAGTATCCGCATTATGCACCAAGTAATCCTCGTGATCATCGTGGCGCACCTTGTGTAAAATCCGGCGAGCCTTGGAATTCTTATAATCCTTGTATGCTGCTGTTGCCGACGAGCACGTACTATCGTGCTGATGAGTCTTGCGACATTTGGCAGCATTGAATCGCTTTTGAATCTCCTGGCTGTTGCAAGCCTTTGGCAGACTATCCGAGACTGGAAGGACGAGTAGATTGCAAGCAGCAGCGTCATCTTCGTCAGTGTCAGTCGTTCCAGTCGGAATCAAGTATAGCGTCTGCGATGCCAACAATTGTTCCAATCCATAGCCATCCTTACTACTACTGCTAGTTGTTGTAGTCATTGCTGTATCACGCTCCTGTTGCTGCTGATGCGCCGCCAAGCACATGTTTCGTAAATGCGCGTGGACATGCGGCGTATCAACGCCACAGAAGCAAGACTCTGCAGGCGTTCCATGGTTTCCATGCTCATCAAAGCAAGGAGTCATCCAGTCATCGATTGCTGTAGCTCCATGCGTGCTAAAGCAGAGTTTCTGCTGCTGCAATACTTGAGAGTCCTTGTCGTCGCTCGTTCCATTAGCAGCTGTACTTGAAGCCTCATTCTTTTGGTAACGAAAAGTCATGGGGACGCCCGATGCATCGAAAATGACAACGTCCGTTCCATTCTCGCGGACAACGGCGAGACAAAGGACCGAGTTGCTTTCCTCTTCCTCTGCATGATGGTGATGATGATGCGTATGAGAGTGATGATGCTCGGAAGATCGAGTCGTCAGCGTCGGCTCCGAGTCGATTGTTCCTGCGCTTTCGCTTCCGCCGCAGCAGCCACTGCGTTTCTCTTGCAATGGCGAGGCTCCATGATGATGGGAATGACTATGGCCTGGCATGCTTGCAGGTATAAAAAGTCACTGCTGATTGTTGAGACGTGAAAGTTGCAGCCTCGTCACAACTTATTTCCCTGCTTTCGTCCCGAATTCGTTCCACTACTCAGCTATGAATGAACGGCAAAGGATTGCAAAGCGCTTCTTTAACTTAGATAATACTGAAAAGCTTCTCTTCTTGAAAGTCTGCTGCCTTTTAAAGTGATCTTGTCGAGGCAAGCCAACCTCAACCACTTGGCATGCGCTGCGAGGTCTGCAGGCGCCGCGACACCCCATCTCGCAGGCAAGTTAATGCAATTAGGTCCCTTTTCAACATGGTTTATCGCAGGATTAGCTCAGTGGAAGAGCGAAACGTTTACACCGTTTAGGTCGGGAGTTCGAACCTCTCATCCTGTATCATTGTTTTACAACCGCAGATGGATACATTCATTTTGTTTGTTTGGAAGAACCGAGCACTCGCAGCAAGAAGAAGAACTTGTCTACTGACCCCTCTAGTCCATTTCAATTCTTGTTTGTTGGCATGATGGGCCAATGTTGCTTTATATAGTTGCACTACAGTGTCCATCACCATGTATGCCATGGTGAGACTGAGCACATTCAACAACTGGTTGGATCTGCTAGCAATGCACCTCAAGTGGCAAGTGAGACTTCCAAAATGGCCTACAGAACCCATAATACAACAGACATGGACTTTAACATTGAATGGGACTCATAGACGTGTCAATGTGGGTGTGGAACCCATGACTATGCCCTGCAACTCCGCACACAAATGGTTGAATGTACCAGCATTGCAGCCTTTTTTGTGGCAGGGATCATCAGCATTGCCAGCTGAGCCCTCCAATTGCTTTCAATTCATGCTTCCTGTCATGAAAGGCCAAACATTGGTCAGTAGCACCTCAGTATCCACCACCATATGTGCCATGGTGAGACTCAGCAGAAGGGTTTGACCATGCAGGTGCTCAATGGATGCTCCATTGGTGCACCAGTGGCGCCTTCTAATCAGATGACCCTATAAGTGGCGCTCAGAAGGATTTTCCTTCTCGCCATCACTGAGCTACTTGGATGCCATGGAAGGGTTTCACCATGCCAAATGAACATACGGGACAAGGGTTTGGCCATGCAGGTGCTCATTAGATGCTCCATTGGTGCACCAGTGGTGCCTTCTAAACAGATGAGCCTTCAAATGGCGCTCAGAAGGATTTTCCTTCTCGCCATCAATGAGCTACTTGGATGCCATGGAGGGGTTTCACCACACCAAATGAATATATGGGACAAGGGTTTAGCCATGCAGGTGCTCATTAGATGCTCATTGGTGCACCAGTGGCGCCATCTAAACAGATGCCCCAACAACTAGCGCTCAGAAGGATTTTCCTTTTCGCCGTCACTGAGCTACTTGGATGCCATGGAGGGGTTTCACCACACCAAATGAACATACGGGACAATGGTTTGGCCATGCAGGTGCTCATTGGATGCTCCATTGGTGCACCAGTGGCGCCTTCTAAACAGATGAGCCTTCAAGTGGCGCTCAGAAGGATTTTCCTTCTCGCCATCACTGAGCTACTTGGATGCCATGGAGGGGTTTCACCACACCAAATGAACATACGGGACAATGGTTTGGCCATGCAGGTGCTCATTGGATGCTCCATTGGTGCACCAGTGGCGCCTTCTAGGCAGATGCCCCAACAAGTGGCGCTCAGAAGGATTTTCCTTCTCGCCATCACTGAGCTACTTGGATGCCATGGAGGGGTTTCACCACACCAAATGAACATACGGGACAAGGGTTTGGCCATGCAGGTGCTCATTGGATGCTCCATTGGTGCCCCAGTGGTGCCTTCTAGGCAGATGAGCCTTCAAGTGGTGCTCAGAAGGATTTTCCTTCTCGCCGTCATTGAGCTACTTGGATGACATGGAGGGGTTTCACCACACCAAATGAACATGCGGGACAAGGGTTTGGCCATGCAGGTGCTCATTGGATGCTCCATTGGTGCACCAGTGGCGCCTTCTAGGCAGATGACCCTTCAAGTGGCGCTCAGAAGGATTTTCCTTCTCGCCGTCACTGAGCTACTTGGATGCCATGGAGGGGTTTCACCACACCAAATGAACATATGGGACAAGGGTTTGGCCATGCAGGTGCTCATTGGATGCTCCATTGGTGCACCAGTGGCGCCTTCTAAACAGATGAGCCTTCAAGTGGCGCTCAGAAGGATTTTCCTTCTCGCCATCACTGAGCTACTTGGATGCCATGGAGGGGTTTCACCACACCAAATGAACATACAGGACAAGGGTTTGGCCATGCAGGTGCTCATAGGATGCTCCATTGGTGCACCAGTGGCGCCTTCTAGGCAGATGGCCCTTCAACTGGCGCTCAGAAGGATTTTCCTTCTCGCCGTCACTGAGCTACTTGGATGCCACCCAAATAAAAGAAAGGTTTGGCAGTGGATGCTCCATTGGGCACAGGTTCGGCGCTCACCGCCACTGGAGGGTTTTCACCACACCAAATGAACATACGGGACAAGGGTTTGGCCATGCAGGTGCTCATTGGATGCTCCATTGGTGCACCAGTGGCGCCTTCTAGGCAGATGGCCCTTCAACTGGCGCTCAGAAGGATTTTCCTTCTCGCCGTCACTGAGCTACTTGGATGCCATGGAGGGGTTTCACCACACCAAATGAACATACGGGACAAGGGTTTGGCCATGCAGGTGCTCATTGGATGCTCCATTGGTGCACCAGTGGCGCCGTCTAGGCAGATGACCCTTCAAGTGGCGCTCAGAAGGATTTTCCTTCTCGCCGTCACTGAGCTACTTGGATGCCATGGAGGGGTTTCACCATGCCAAATGAACATACGGGACAAGGGTTTGGCCATGCAGGTGCTCATTGGATGCTCCATTGGTGCACCAGTGGCACCTTCTAGGCAGATGGCCCTTCAACTGGCGCTCAGAAGGTTTTTCCTTCTCGCCGTCACTGAGCTACTTGGATGCCATGGAGGGGTTTCACCACACCAAATGAACATACGGGACAAGGGTTTGGCCATGCAGGTGCTCATTGGATGCTCCATTGGTGCACCAGTGGCGCCTTCTAGGCAGATGCCCCTTCAACTGGCGCTCAGAAGGATTTTCCTTCTCGCCGTCACTGAGCTACTTGGATGCCATGGAGGGGTTTCACCACGCCAAATGAACATACGGGACAAGGGTTTGGCCATGCAGGTGCTCATTGGATGCTCCATTGGTGCACCAGTGGCGCCTTCTAGGCAGATGGCCTTCAACTGGTGCTCAGAAGGATTTTCCTTCTCGCCGTCACTGAGCTACTTGGATGCCATGGAGGGGTTTCACCATGCCAAATGAACATACGGGACAAGGGTTTGGCCATGCAGGTGCTCATTGGATGCTCCATTGGTGCACCAGTGGCGCCTTCTAAACAGATGAGCCTTCAAGTGGCGCTCAGAAGGATTTTCCTTCTCGCCGTCACTGAGCTACTTGGATGCCATGGAGGGGTTTCACCACACCAAATGAACATACGGGACAAGGGTTTGGCCATGCAGGTGCTCATTGGATGCTCCATTGGTGCACCAGTGGCGCCTTCTAGGCAGATGGCCCTTCAACTGGCGCTCAGAAGGTTTTTCCTTCTCGCCGTCACTGAGCTACTTGGATGCCATGGAGGGGTTTCACCACACCAAATGAACATACGGGACAAGGGTTTGGACATGCAGGTGCTCATTGGATGCTCCATTGGTGCACCAGTGGCGCCTTCTAGGCAGATGCCCCTTCAACTGGCGCTCAGAAGGTTTTTCCTTCTCGCCGTCACTGAGCTACTTGGATGCCATGGAGGGGTTTCACCACACCAAATGAACATACGGGACAAGGGTTTGGCCATGCAGGTGCTCATTGGATGCTCCATTGGTGCACCAGTGGCGCCTTCTAGGCAGATGCCCCTTCAAGTGGCGCTCAGAAGGATTTTCCTTCTCGCCATCACTGAGCTACTTGGATGCCATGGAAGGGTTTCACAATGCCAAATGAACATACGGGATAATGGTTTGGCCATGCAGGTGCTCATTGGATGCCCCTTTGGGGCACCAGTGGCGCCTGCTAGACAGATGACCCAACAAGTAGCGCTCAGAAGGATTTTCCTTCTCGCCGTCACTGAGCTACTTGGATGCCATGGAGGGGTTTCACCACACCAAATGAACATACGGGACAAGGGTTTGGCCATGCAGGTGCTCATTGGATGCTCCATTGGTGCACCAGTGGCGCCTTCTAGGCAGATGGCCCTTCAAGTGGCGCTCAGAAGGATTTTCCTTCTCGCCATCACTGAGCTACTTGGATGCCATGGAGGGGTTTCACCACACCAAATGAACATACGGGACAAGGGTTTGGCCATGCAGGTGCTCATTGGATGCTCCATTGGTGCACCAGTGGCGCCTTCTAGGCAGATGCCCCTTCAACTGGCGCTCAGAAGGATTTTCCTTCTCGCCGTCACTGAGCTACTTGGATGCCATGGAGGGGTTTCACCACACCAAATGAACATATGGGACAATGGTTTGGCCATGCAGATGCTCATTGGATGCTCCATTGGTGCACCAGTGGCGCCTTCTAGGCAGATGCCCCTTCAACTGGCGCTCAGAAGGATTTTCCTTCTCGCCGTCACTGAGCTACTTGGATGCCATGGAGGGGTTTCACCACGCCAAATGAACATACGGGACAAGGGTTTGGCCATGCAGGTGCTCATTGGATGCTCCATTGGTGCACCAGTGGCGCCTTCTAGGCAGATGGCCCTTCAACTGGCGCTCAGAAGGATTTTCCTTCTCGCCGTCACTGAGCTACTTGGATGCCATGGAGGGGTTTCACCACGCCAAATGAACATACGGGACAAGGGTTTGGCCATGCAGATGCTCATTGGATGCTCCATTGGTGCACCAGTGGCGCCTTCTAGGCAGATGCCTCTTCAACTGGCGCTCAGAAGGTATTTCCTTCTCGCCGTCACTGAGCTACTTGGATGCCATGGAGGGGTTTCACCACACCAAATGAACATACGGGACAAGGGTTTGGCCATGCAGGTGCTCATTGGATGCTCCATTGGTGCACCAGTGGCGCCTTCTAGGCAGATGCCCCTTCAAGTGGCGCTCAGAAGGTTTTTCCTTCTCGCCGTCACTGAGCTACTTGGATGCCATGGAGGGGTTTCACCACACCAAATGAACATATGCGACAAGGGTTTGGCCATGCAAGTGCTCAAAGGATGGTCCACTGGTGCTTCAGTGGCACCTTCTAGGCAGATGCCCCTACAAGTGGCGCTCAGAAGAATTTTTCCTTCTCGCCGTCACTGAGCTATTTGGATGCAATGGAGGAGTATGGAGGGGTTTCACCACACCAAATGAACATATGGGACAAGGGTTTGGCCATGCA